TATTTGGATTATTATTCATTAAAAGCAGAAGTATAGTGTTAATTCCATCTGTAGCTCCATTACAAAGATAAATATTATTTGCATCTGATGGATAATCATCTCGTTGTTGAATATAACTTGCAATATCTTCACGTACTGTTACAATACCTTGAGTTTCACTGTATGAACCAAGATTTTTTCCGCCACATGCAGACAATAAACGTTCAACTTTTTGCTTGATATCTAATGGGAAATTCGGTGATTCCATCAATTCTGGATAAGTACAACCAGCTACGAACTATAAAAGATAAATTATTATTTGAAAAACAAATCTCGACACGAACTTGTCGAATATATGTTATAGATATTTGATTACCACTAGCATAAAAATCATCAATATTAGTTCGAATCACACGATCAAATGGGAAGTTATGATTACCCTAAAAAAAAATATCAATAATAATAGTCTATCAAAAAAGTTATTAAAACCGATTTGATTTTTTGTTCAACTTCATAAGCGTGAATAGTGATTGGATTTCGGACAAGATATTCAACATCAAGTATACGTGGATTTAAATTTTCTATTGTTAAAGTTTTATTATGACCCATTCTAGTAGATTTTATAGTGCTTTAATCAATAGTGAATAGTAATTTCCATTGAAGTAAAAAGAAAAATGCTTTACTTATCGTTTATATTGGCTTCATTTCTTTCTTGTTAACCTTTATTCATATAGTAGTATAATGCTTTATTTGTGCTATAAGCGAACATCGCTCCTGTAGCGTGACAAAAAAACCAACTTGAAAGAAAAAAAAACAATTGATCTGTATCAGCTGACGAAGAAAGACATAGGGAGACAAGAAAAAAGAATAAAAAGAACTAAAAAGAAAAAACAAGAAAAAGGGAAGCTTGAGATAACATCTATCAAAATATATGCGTGATGTGGCTAGAGAGTGGACGAAAGGAAAATTACATCAACGATAACACAAAATATGATCGAGCAGAGATAAACGATCTTCAGATAATAGTTTGCGAATGTTTTTTTGCATATTCTTCCTTTCTCAAAGATTTTTCTTCTTTCCATTACTAATGTTGGATTTGAAAGATATTCATGTAAATATAGAATTGATAATTTGTGTTGTAAAAAATCTTCAATCACACTTGGATTTTTTTTCGAGTATTGTATAAATTAATTTATCCCAATGTGTGTATGTTAATTTTGAGATGGATTTATATTTAGGCAAGTTTTCAATTTCAATATATCTAGCATCGAACCATTGGTGTATTGTTCTAAAGATTTTACGATTTAAACCTTCGAGCTGCTTCTGTTTGGCTAACGTAAGAATCGGATAAATGTTGAATATTGATTGAAGATAAGGTCTAATAAAAGTCTTGCATAGAAGATAATTTACTTGTTCACTTGTCAACCGACTAGAAGCTAAACGTTTGAATATATTCATATTAGTACGAATTTTTGTTTTAATATAGTCAATGTTTTCTGTAAATGATAATTTAGCATCTAATATTGTACCAAGATATTTGAATTTCTTGACATGTTCGATGTTGTGACCTTCGCATGTAATTTTTGCAATTTGTGAAACGACTTGACGATGGAAGAGGGTCCAATACGTTTTACTAAAATTTATTGGTTGTTTCCATTTGATTGAGTAGTTGATCAGGCGACTAAGTACTTGTTTTATTTGATCAGTTAAGGCATTTATCATGTTTGATGAAGACATTGATGACGATGGTGAGAATAAAACCGCAAGATCATCTGCAAATAGATGCTTCCAATGAATAGTTGATAATGCTTCAAGGATATTATGATGGTAAATTATGAATAGCACTGGTCCAATACAGCTGCCATGAGAAACTCATTTGGACAGATGAAACATGGACGACGACGTATTTTTTATGTCGATGAATGCTTTTCTTCCTTTTAAATAATGACGAAGTCATGAGATTATATATAGTGGACATTGTAAATTAGTTAGTTTTAACCATAGGTCATTGAACCAAAGTTGATTGAAGGCGGGGTACGAAAGTCTACAAAGAGTGCAGCAACTGCAATGTTCTTTGATAGACTTTGACCTATTTGATCTATAATAGCCACTAATCGAACAGCTATATTGTGACCAGGTCGAAAACCACTTTGTACAGCAGGAAGAATACTCTGTTCATGTATCCATTTACGAAAGTGCATCAGAAACATTTTTCAAATAATTTAGAAAAGCAAGGTAATAATGAGATGGATCTTGTTTCTTCAATAGAAATAACTTTTGATTTTGTTTTCGACAGAAGAATCATTTTAGCAACGTGCCAGTGTGGCGGTGTTTGTAAGGTAATTGCAAAGTTGTTCAAGCATGAAAGAATTATCGTAAGATGATTTGAAGGACGTAATTTAATTATACGATTTGATACACCATCCATGCCGGTGGAATTTTTATTTTTTAAAGAGGCAATGGTTCGACGAAGATGATGGTAGGTGATGTTGATGGGAATAGGTGGTTTATTTTTCAAGACTTCATCGAGTTCGACATCAACATTATTTGCTTCAATTTCAATTTCCGACTGTTTATTTTGATGACTAGAAAATTGTTCTTCATAATACGTTCTCGCAATCGTGCACATTTCCACTGGTGAAGAAACGATGTTGTTATTGGCGAGGAAACCATCGATTGGAGCAGATCTGGAGATGAAATGACGTTTTGCCTTTTTCCAAAAGGCTGATGTATCACAATCGTTTAACGAATTACAATAGTTCAACCACGACTTCCTTTTGTGAAGAAAAAGCTGCTTGTGTATCATTTTTGTCATATCACGTAAAGCAACAGCAAAATAAGGATGACGAGTTTGACGAAATAATTTGAGATAATGACGTTTTTGTTTAATCATAAATACTATATCTTGAGGTAAAGATGGCTTGATTGTTTTTCGGAAGGAGATGAAAGTAAGACGTGATATACATAGCGCGAGAAAACGTTCATATAATGAGAAGAAGGCTGGTGAGTATGACATTGAAGCGGCTAACGACTGCCAATATGTTGCTGTAAACGTAAGAAATATTTCGAGTAGGTTCCAACGAGTGCGCTTGATTGGGGAGCGATGATGAGTGAAGGATATTTTAAATGACGAATGCCATAGAACAGGATGATGATCATTTCCTATACTTGAAAGAACCGAGAAGGTGGTAGTCGACATATGTGATGGTGCGATAATTAAATCAATTGTTGCATTTGAACGAGTTGAGGTAGATATGTATTTGTTAATAATTTTCAGAGATGAATGTATTTGTGAAGAAGATAACCAGTTCAATAAAGCTCGTCCTTTTTGATTATCTGCAGATTTTGACTATGAATTGTGCTTAGCGTTAAAATCATCGGTAAAGATTGAATTTGGATTACGTTGAAGTAAACGATTAAATGTATCAAGATGAATTGATTCAGTAGGTGGACAATAACATGTGATTAATTGAAACATATCTGCATCTGATCCAATTTCAAGTACGATTAAATTACATAGATTGTCAAATTCAGCCACAAGTTGAGAACGAATTGATTTATGCACCGCAATTAACATCCCACCAAACATATTTGTTCCTTTCATGGAAAAGACATTAAAGTTGAAGAAATGTGACGTAAATTGTTTAATCGAATTATCATCATGATGCGTACCATTTAATACAACAATTGGCGGTGATGTGGAATCAATTAATTTTAATACATCGCCGAGATACTTGTTCAGACTAGAAAGATTTAAACGAAGAGGAGAAATATTTTGTTTTACCTTCATCAGAGAAAAATTTTTATCACGATGATTTGTCCAATTTTCAAGTAAAAGATCAAGTATGGGAGTATCAGTCCATTCACACAATAAATCTTGAAAGATGTTTTCTTCAGCTTTTGTTAATTGATCAGTTTTGATAGAATAAAATCTCTTTTGATTTGGTTTAAAAGTCATTGCTGATGGATTCATTTGATGAAGAATTTGGTAATATGGCATTAGATCGTGTATCAAAAGCAATTGATTTAGTTACCTCTTTGAAACCTTGTTTGAATTGAATAAATAATGGCCGTAGCCGATCTTTTTCTGCTTGTTTGCTCTTCCAAGGAATACATTGCTCAGTTCACAAACAAATGGACAGAACTTGTTCATAATAAATTCTTTCATTGAATAAATTTCTTTTTGACATGAGTTGATGTGTTGATACATATTATTTAAGCTTGAATTTATCTTCACTTGTTCAGTTGAAAAATGTTCAATTTTAATCGTAAGTAAATCGATTTTCTTCGAAAGATCCAAGATCGCACTTGCATTCAGTAATTTCTTGAACATTATTAATTGTACTGGATGGATAAATAGGTATATTACGTTTTGGTTGATTTGTTGTCCAAACGAAACAAGAAAGATTTTCTTGCTTTGATTTGTTGTTTGTGGTCGTGGAGATGCTACTTTGATATCTTCTTCTTTCTTCTATTTTTATTGGACAATTTGGATTGCCCGTCATGTGGTCTTGATGACAGTTTGCACAGTAGAGTTTGTTAGTGCAATGTGGATTATATGGATGATTTTGACCACAACGAAAGCAAATGGGATTGTCCTTGTGTGGACAATTAGCTACAATATGATTGTTTTATTGTTGACAATTAAAGCATCTAAATATTAGGAGTAGCGGTGAATACGGTTGGATCATGAATGACGTATTATTATCATCTATTAATAATTTTTTATTCTTGATAATTTTGTTAAGTTCTTGATTGGATGAAAAATCAATTCCTACTTTTGAAATTGGTATACCACCTTTAATATAAAGACGTTCAACTTTGATAATTGTCGGATATTGCTTTTTGATATCTAATTCGAATTCTAATAAATTCCATTGAGCGGGAACACCTAATGCTAAAATAGAATAAGAAGAAGGAACTTTAGATGGAAAATCAATAGAATAATCAACAGAACAAATTTGTATTGGCCAAATATTTTTATTCATTAATCGATCAAATTGTTCACTGGAGCTTGCGTATAACAGAAAACTTTTATTACGTCCCATTTTTGAATAACGATCATAAGAAAGGCTGATGCGGTACTGCTTGTTGATGTCTTTGATAATTGATAGTTCAAATGGTGTATCATCGGCAGCAAAAGCAATGCGAAATGGTGGAAAAGACGGTCGTGGAGATGTTGAGTTCGTGACATTTGCTGTGGAGCGAGATGTTGTTGAGCTTAAGCGAGAATCACTGCTGTTGAAGTATTGGTTCCGCACATTGACCAAACGATGTTCGAGTTCGAATGAGTCATCGCCTTCTTTTGATCTTTTTGATATATTCCGTTTTGATTGTTCTTTGTGTGCTGTTAATGAATTGTTTCTTCAATCAGGTTGTTCATCCTGATCGCCAATCATGGTACTAATTTGGTGAGGCTTATTGCCTCGATCGCTCATCATCATCATAAAAAAAAGGATGAGTCGCTCCCTCGTAGTATCAAGAGAGTTCGTATACTCTGAACAGGAAAGAAAGAAAATGTGTCTATACTGGACTACGACAAAAGGATGAATGATAAGCTGTATTCATATTTGCACTTAACAGCTGTTCGAACAATCAACAAAGAAAAATAAACACAACTATCAAATACTTTTTCATAAGTAACAGTTATCATCACAAGTATTTATGATACCTTACTTCAAATCGGTATTTGACGTTAGATGTTTTATGTTTCTTTTCTTGCTCACAATGTAAAGAAACCGGTTTATTCAAATCTTATTATTCCAACGAAAATATAGCGGCATACATACTTATTTTCGTTTCAAATAATTACTGAAATAAAGAAAACAAGAAAAATATTTTTATTTCAAACAGCATATTTAACTTCTACAATCAATGGCCTAATTTTTCCCATAGAGAAAATTGAATGTTGTCTGCGTTCCATTATTGACATCTAAGGAGAAATCTAGTGGCAAAACAAAATAACATTCATCATACTGAAGTAGTATACTTTCTATAATGCTGTTCTTTTGCCATGAATTATGCTGATTATAGCTCTGGATATTTTAATTTAGTTTATTGTTCTTGTACTTGTGGAAGACACTTGACCAGTAAAACCTTATATTTTTGACAGATAAAGTACATTCATTATTGTTGAATCGATGGTGTGGGTGTCAGTCTCTTCTTGAAACGCACCCACACTCTTCCCTAAAAATCTTCATTTTATCGATAGATAGATGCCAATAATTTCGGGTACAACTAAAATAAAAAATCTGGAGAAGAACGTTGATGTGACATAGATTCAATTGACTAATGAAGAAATCAACAATATTCGAGAAGCCTGTGAGCAAGCTGATGCCGTCGGCAAGCATTATCCAAAAGAACTCTCGGCCTCTTTATTTGTCGATTTAGAACCAAAATAAAAGCAGATCAATTCTACTTCATCTAAACAAGCATATTAAGACCTCATATAACGAAATTCTTTTCATTTTTTTCAATAAACTTCTGATATAAAAGTTTTTGCTTATTGTATAGTAGAACTGCACGATATATACGTATTGAATAAATCAACAATATTCGCATACCATAAAGAAAGCGATTTAACTGTAGAAATATGTCATTCCTTAACTAATGGACAAATCAGAAAATTACTAGAGAAAAGAAATACCAATACGGACGAACACAATATGTATATGGTGCCCTTAGAAACGAAAACTATAGCATTTACTTTTCATTCATTCACTACATGTCTATTCTATGATTTACTTCCTACAATAATCGATCATCGAGATCAATAAACTTATCATGACTATAAAAATCTTTCCTAGCCCATTTGAAGTATTCGCAAATTCAAAATTAAACCTTACATGACTGTATTTCGTAAAAGAATAATGTTTGAGGGCTGCTATCTCTATGTAACATAGCCAGACACCAGCAAAAATAACTCAAGACTTCTATAAGAGCCATCACCTAGTGTTCACGTACATAAGAAAATGATATTTTTCTTCTTCTTATCATACAAGTATGCTCTATGGTCCCAATCAGTTCGATGAAGTCTAACATAGAATTCTATATCGACTTAAATCCTACTAGAACTGTACAGCTCACGCTCATATGAGTGCTCATGAACGTGAGTTGTACATTTCCGCAGTCCTGCATATGGGTTCATGTTCGACACTACACTATTTTTATGCTCGCAAAGTGTACTTGTACGTTCTATTCTCGTCAAGCAATGAAGTTATATGAAGAATTTATTAAAAAAAAGAAGGAAAAACAGTTATTCTATCTTTTTGTAGGATAAAAATGACTTTTCCATGAACAAGAAAAGAGTTTAAGTGAGAAATAAATTTGTGTTTCCTGTATTAAAGATAGATAGTGTTGTTTTTTTTATAGAAAAGTGTACTTCATAGGTACGACTGTTAGGCTCAAAATATAAAATAGCAGATGTTATGCATGTTTAACTATTGTATAGGACACCTGCTGTTAGAAACATTGAATGGATGTTCCGAAATCATTGACTTTGTGTGGATAGTGACATCTTTTGATTTTTGAATGTTTAAATACTGTGTGAAGGTTTGAAAATTTTATTTTGTCAATGGGTTCTACAGTTTTAGCTGCTTTTGAATGAATATACTTTTGGTAAACAAGGGAAATATTCAAGCATACTATAGGTCGCGATAGGTATACAATACTTTTTTTCTTTTCTTGGTTGGTTATATCTGACGTATGGTTCGTCGTCGAGATAGCTTCCAATTGATAAGTAGATAAGCAAAACGAAGAAAGTATATATATCTTCATTTCTTAAGTGTAGTAAATTTATCACAACGTCATGGTACTCTATCAAGAATTTTGTCTAATATGGTCTTCGCTCGAACTTTTTATGGCTATTTCACATATTTTCGTCTTCTTAGGTAACATCACATTCTATTTATTGTAGTTATTTTAAAAATAGTCAGGTTCTTTTATACGATACATGCATTTGTTATTCAATCAGCAATAGCAGAGAATGCAGTTGAGGATGTGTGTATTGTTTAGAAGCATCCATATTCATTTAATCGAACTTCAATGCATTTTCCTTAAACAATAAGTTCTCTACTTAGGTATTCGCAATTCCAAATTGGGCTTTTTACGTCGTCAACATAATTACTTTTTGTTAGATGCATTCACTCATTTGATTAATTTACTACTCTACTCATCAAAAACTATTAGTATACCACTTCGTATCATATGGTTTTATGCACTTCTTGTTCATTTATATTATTATAGAAATTTGAAAACTAATCCCCCTCCGCGTCGTAATCCAAATGGACAAAAAGTACAAGAAGATAATGCACATAAAATTTCACGTATATTTCATTGGTCTTGTATCGAGTACGAACCAAACCGATTTAGCATATTTGAATCTGGTAAAGAGATGTTTGAGACAACAGTTGATGTCATAGCTCATAGCATGGGCTTTTTTCTTACTTTTCGTATGATTGAATCAATTTGGTATAAAATAGGAGCCCTAACACTTATGTTTGGTGTACTTTATCAACGTATGATTGGTTTGAAATTTTTTTTTACTGAACCCAAAATGATGCCATCACCATTACAAAGATTATTTGCCACTATGCCTGCCAGACCCATAGCAGATTAATATTTTGGTTTTGTTTGAAATCAAATAATTGACATTATTCTTTCAGCTTCATTTTTATTCAACTATTTGAAAGTAAAAAAAAATTAACATTGATTTTGCACAGTCTTCAATTTTCTATATTTATAAATAAAGTTAATATCAGGTTGAAGAACTTGTTTTTGTATTAATAGCAACAAGCTAGCTCCATGAATAAGAAGATATTCTGTTTTGATCTTGTACTGAAATCTTACTGTCAATAGTCTACTAAATAGTTTTAATTCATCTGTCCATTATTGAAAAATTGAGTCAATCGACTAGGTTCCAGACTTGATCAAGTTTGTGAACTATTCGATGAATGTTACTCTGAAAGTCAGAACTAATTATAACTTAGGTGTTACAAAATCATCGTCAATATTGCCTAAGAAAGGTGATGTGTGTACTAGTCATCAAATACAAATCATCGAAAAACATGTTGGATCTGACTGACTTGAAGGATACGTGGCGTTAATCAACTAAAGTCTTGAGTTTTATCTACATCGTCAAGGTACTTTCGGCCTATTTTGATATTACACATTAATGCTCTTATCTTCACATCATGAAGCTACAAGTTTGGCTTGAACAAATAGCATGTGACACAGATCTTTAATATTTTCTAACGTTTAGTTGATAACACTTCAACTAAGTGCTTCTTTTTATTTGCAAAACAGTTTTTCTTTCTTCTCTTATATAAAGATAAAGAGTGGAGTAGAAGAAATTTTCAATGCTTCTAGACTAAAGTCAACCCAGGTTAATACGAACGGTCCGTACTAAGTTTATAAACTACATCAATTTATAGATTAGATAATACTTTGTTTTCTTCATTAAAAATAAACGCACTTATGACAACTGAAGTGAAAATGCTATAGTATATGTTTCTATTAAATGTCATTAATGACAGTGCCATATACATAACGACAACAAAAAATCAAACGCTGGAATAAAGTTTTAGGCTTAAATAGAAATACATCAATTACACACCATAAGTTGTAAAAACTCAACAGCTTTTACTTTCTAATACTATAGTAGCACATAACTGTCTAGACAAGTATGTATAAATATTTGTAAAGCTCTTTTTTTTCATGTAAAACTATTTGATTGAGTTTGTTCACTTATATCTAATACAATCAATCTATTACGTTCAAATACGATTGTTACTAACCATGAACGTAAGCAATTCTCGTATGCGATCATTATATACAGTTGTGTATAATCGAAACTTAGTCAGTAGTTGAGATGCTCCTCGGTATCAAAATTTAATTTTCAATTTAAACATTAGAGCCAATGATCAGTATCAATTAATAAAATAGACCACATTTTTTTATTTAGAACTCTCTGAGCATCAAGTTTAATGGTATGTATTTATTTCAACTATTAAACAATACTTTTTTTTTTCTTTACATTTATATTCACGAC